GTGGAGCCCAAGGACTGGGGGGGGGGCCCTCCACGTGGCGCTCGACCCCCGGACCCTGAGATCATGACCTGAGCCTGAGCCACAGCCACACGCCGAACCAACTGAGCCACCCAGGTGCCCCTGACTTGATGCAGTGTTTAAGAAAGGCCATTTGATTGCTTTGTGTTCCTGTTCTTCATCTTACGTAGCGAAAATGCTTTCCTAGTTTGAAAATTTTAGCTTTAGAATTGTCTATTCTGTTCATGTCTTGCCGGCTTGATTTTAATCTCATTATCCCTCTGAAATCCAACTGCATTTTGCCTCCTATAGTTTTAGTTTCTTAGTTCTCCTTAATTTGTCCTTTTTGCCCTTAGTACTTTACATTTCCTGTCTTATTAGTTGAGCTTTCCATATATCCTTAATTGATTTTCTTTGGTTATCCAAACTTTTTTTTTTAATCAAATTGGTTTTGTCTTGTCTTTTTATTAATTTGGCATTCCAAGTTCTCCTTTTATCTGACCTTTTCCATTTTAACCATTTAAATCATATTTCAACAATTCTAAATGCTTACTTATTTCCTCTGCTTTTGTGTTATTCTACCATTTAACTTTATTATCATCGTATATCTTAGCAATGTTTTAAACTTTTATTTTGGAATAAAATATAATCATTTTTTTCTCTCCTCCACTCCACCGCTATTTCTTAGACTGGTGATTTCTGTTCTTAACATTTTTTCATGGTATATATTAATTAGCCCTTTTATGAGGAGCCGATATAGTAAATATTACGGATTCTGACATAGACAAGCAGTGGGTATGTGGGAAGTTATGTTATGTGGCAAAGACCGTCTTTGAAATGCTTGTCCAAATGGAAGATTATATTCCCCCATTTTCTTCCTGCCCCCTATCTTCCACTTTTTAGACCCCTCTCCCCAATTTGATGATTAGATCAGGGCTGAGCACCAAAACTCAAGTGGAAGCTGGAAATGGAGCTGGTGCCGGGGGGGGCGGGGGGGAGCCAGGTGTCTGGAATTAGGGAGAGCACCGTGCATGCTGGAGGGCTCTCGGGGGCCATGATCTGCTGCACGCCCTGCAGAGAGTGTGACTTGGACGTACATGGAGCGGACAGAGTCTGGGTCCCCCACGCTGTCTGTTGTCCTGTTCTGGCCCTTCTGGGGTTGCTCTAGTCCTGTGTGTGGGTCCTGTGAGCCATTCCAGGAACTTTAAATCAGTTCCTGTTCATTTCTGTTACTTGAATCAGATGGAGACTTAACTACCCCAAGTAGAATAAATAGAGAGAAAGAGAAAATGGGTAGGAGTTTCTGCGTGGGGAAGGACCCTCTGTCCATTCAAAGTCCTGGACAGGTCTTCGTGAGGAGCCAGGTTGTCTGAGCCTCTTGATGTAATATGGGGAATGGCATGGGTGGTGTGTGTATGTGCGTGCACACGTGTGTGTGTGTGTGTGAGCCCAGGAGGGTGCCTGGCCTGGTATCTGGCATTGTAATGACAGCAGCCTCCCCTTCAAAAGTGCGTGTCCAATCTGATCTATTTTCCTTCTCGGTAAGGTTACATAAGCTTAGCAATAAGCTTTTTAGCGACTTTCTCATTTAATTTTTTTAAAGATTTATTGATTTATTTTAGAGAGATAATGAGAGCAGGGGGAGGGGTAGAGGGAGAGGGAGAGAGCGAATCTCAAGCAGACTCCCCGTAGAGTGTGGAGCCTGACATGGGGCTCGATCACACGACCCTGAGATCATGATCTGAGCTGAAATCAAGAGTTGGAGGCTTAACTGACTGAGCCACCCAGGCGCCTCGCAACTTTCTCATTTTATAAAAGAAGCAGAGAGAGTGAATACAGTTGAAATTTATCTCCAACATATAAAGCACATAGTCAATTGTGCATTTGCAGGATAGAGGCATTTACTATACACACTTAGGTAAAATCCCTTTGAGCAGCCATTCAAAAGTACCCCATTTCACTGGGTGATTATGGGCTTTTATTTTCACCAGTAAATCAGAAGCTGGTTCCAGACGTTTGCTTCCTGGGCTCAGACTTCTGAGACCTATGTTTCTGATGGCTCTAGAAGTTCCAACTGTTTACACACAGCAATGTCTTGCCTTGCTTCTTGTCCTCATGAAAGCCACAGTGACACCGCTTACCAGGCCCAAAACTAATGCTGCCACCAGTGTCTTAGGGCATTACTCACACCACTGAGGAACCTGTTAGAAATGCACATCCTCAGACCTCAATTTAGGACTACCAAATCAGAATCTGAAGTGGGGGGGGGGTTGAGCCCAGGAATTGTCTTTAGCAAGCCTTCCAGATAGATCTTACACATGCTCAGATTTGAAAACCACTGTCTTAGAGCTCAGGGCCAATGCCTGGTGACAGTGCCTATAGCTAAGGGATCAAAGAAAATTAAAAAAGAGACTGGTGGGTTTGTGTTATTAAGGGAGAGATTCGAAGAGAAGACCATGCTAAAGTTCTAAGCAGTAGGAACAAGGTTTCTAAATATTCTGAGTTACTCTAGAAATAGACATCTGGAGAGATATCAGATCTTTTTCTTTCTTATCAGGAAGACATGCAGAGTAGCAGAAAATATATTGCTTCAAGAAGAGACATCAGGAAGCTTATAGAAGGAGGGCAATGTGTCCTCTAGGAAATGAGAGCTGGGACTGGCATTCCTGCATGCTGGAGCTCCCCGGACTGAGGCTGAGGCATCTAGTCTGGCCACACCCTCACACTGGACAAAACAGAAAGCTCCCTTCCTACCCTGCTTCCTCGCAGGGCAATCTTATGTTTCTGGGGTGTAAGAGCATTTTAGAGGTAGGGGCTATTTTCTCCAAGCACCCCACATCCAATTCATACTTCAGAGAGAAGGACTCTAGCCAATCAGTAGCATTTTGGGGTAAAATATATTTCTGTCGAATGAATGGATACATTTTACCAGCCCTAATGCACATAGGAGATGAATGAACACATTAAAAGTAAAATCTACCTTAGCATGAGCTGGGGTTGCTACCCGGAGTACATTTTAACCTTATCTGCTAAAAACAGATCCTTTGTTAAATAAGAATCTTATTAAAAGCCCCTCGCATCATCCTTTCAAATAAGAAACAAGAGAGAGAGACAGTCTACAGGAGCCCCGCCCCCGCCCCCGCCGGACCCATCTTTAAATGAAGCACCTGCCGGATAAACATCTCTCCGTCTGCCCTCCCTCCCTCCTCTGGCCCTCGGCGGTCAGCTTCCCCGTGAGAGATGCCCTGAGGAAGCTTGACAGTGTGGGTCCGAAATTCGCAGAAATAAGCAAGCCGGCAGTGATGAGACAAATACACGACCTAGACCGCGGCAAGGCTGCAGACAGACGCTGAGGCAAAACAACCCGGCGCTTGAGCTTACGGAGTAGGGCTTTGCATTCCACAGCGAGACTGATTGGACATTTTCAACACCATCAGCGCAGGAAATTTACCTCATGACTGAGGAGAGCTTCCCGGCTGTTCTGAAAGGCTGCAAGTCAGGCTACAGTGCTCTTCAGAAGTCTTCCTCCTCTGCTTCCAAGAGATGCTCAGGAGGCCTATATATGGAAGCATTTCTTGGTTCCTTTGCCTTGTTTTCCTGCGCTTCGCTTTAGGAAAGAGAAACTGAAACTGGAAAGTACAACTAACAGGGCTCTAAGAGGAAATGAATCTTGAGTAAGAGCCGCGCCTATAGCACCCCCCAGCCCCCACCCTGTAGTGAGTCAGAACTCCCTCTTTCTGGCGGTCGTGATGTCCCAGATCAGCTGACATGAAGGGGGCCCAGCTTGGAGAAGGACACAGATACCAAGCACCAAGCACCCTGCCTCATTACCGCGCTCTGCCCGCCCTTGTCACCAGCATGGCCCTCAGACCCCAGTAAGGGGCACATGTGGGCTTTTGTCTGTTTCATTCACTGCTGAATCTCTAGTCCCTGCGGTAATAGCTGCCGCACGCAGGCATTCAGAAGGTAGAGGTTGAATGAATACGTGATCAGAAGTGTGGGCTCTGATGTCATCTGTCTGGATTTGAACCCAGGCTCCATGTATGAGCTGTGACACTGGAAATTATCGAACGTTTCTCTGTACCTTAGTTTGTTCTCCTATGGAATGGGGATCCCACTACTACTACCAACTCATAATGGTGTTGTGTAGATCAAATGGGTTAAAGCCATGAAATGTCCTTGGACTATGCCTGGCACATAAAAAGTGCGTGCAATTTTTTTATAATAAATTATAGCTATAGTCATTATTAACCAAAGAGACCAGAAGGGAAACTTTTGATGTTGCCTTTTGGAGAACTTTAGCTCCCCTGATAGTCCACCATCCATCCGTCACGCGCGCTAACCTAAGCCAAACGGCTCCTAACACCTGTACACATTCTGGGCTTCCCCAAGCACCACAATATCTAAAATCCCTTGGCTCACCCTGGTGTCCGGCACTCCCACATCGTAATTTGGAACCATGGCAGTTTGCTATAATGGAAGAAATGCACTTTCTTTGCTTTTTCCTTATTCATACCCTTGATCGCAAAGGGATTACTGCATGTGTGGACCCAAGAGGAAAAGAGGTAACAGCACTAGGAGTCTGATATCAGGAAATTACACAGAGCACGAGGGAAGCCTCCTCTCCAGGACCACTGAGTACAGCTGAGGCACGTAGTTCAGTCTTGGAGAAAGCCTTATGGATGGCGGGTTATGTCTGCGAGCAGTGGGGCGGAAGCAGAAGCTATGCTTCTTGATGGTTCTCTACCCTTTGATTGGGACACACAGCCCAGCCTATCCCAACTGGAAAGCAGAGGACACGTTGTACATGTTAGTGGTGGGGTGAGTGGGTGGGTGGTGGGAGTAAAGATGAAGGCATGGAGGAAGACCGGGAATCCAAAAAATTCGTCGATTAGGTACAGGGATCTTCAGACGTTGATTAGTGTGGCTTGGACCCAGCAGGAACCAGTTGCAGAATAGACACCAGTGGGGTGGTCCTGGCATTCTGGCGTGACCATCTTTTGTTTTGAATTTGTTCTGTTGCATACTTTTTTTGACAATGTGATATATGCTCTGGGTATCAAATTCAAAATTTAAAAATCTATGCAGTTGAAATATATGTCTTCCTCCCATATGGACTCCCAGACAGCCCGTTCCTTCTCTGGAGGCTACCCTAGAGGAAATATATCCTTTTCCAAATAGTCTATGCATAATGTGATATGCTTTTCTTCCTCCTTCTCCCCTTCCTTTGAACAATGTTAGCACGCTGTATACACTCTTCTGCACTTTTATTCTTTATTTTTTAATATATCTCAGAGATAGTGTTCTATATTTTTACATTTAGAACTACCTTATTAGTTTTTACAATAGCTGCATGCTGTTCTGTGTATGAAATATGAAAATTGAATTAATGAGTCCCCTAGTGATGGACCTTTGAGTTGTTGTCAGTCCTTTGTTATTATAAACAAAGCTTCATGAGTATCTTTAATCATGACTTTGCATGCATATGCAAATGCAGGATAGATTAATGAGTGGAATTGCTGGGGTGAAGATTCACGAATGCCAAATTGCCATCAACAAATGCCGTCCATCTACACGATTTATAATCTCAATGGCGATGCATGATGGAGGCTGTTTCCCCACATCCTTGTTAGTACCCTTTTCTTGAAAGGTGTTTCTTTGGTTGACCTGAGATGACCTCTCTTAATAGTGTTGGTTTGCTTTGCTCTTAATAAGAGCAACATTGACAATCATTTCACGTGTTTAAGCCATTTTAATTTCCTGACCTTTGCCCATTTGTCCAAAGGATCTGTTTCATCATTAAGGAAGTTAATCCTTTACCTGGTAATGTACTAAAACCGTATTTTTAAGTCTGTCATTGATCTTTCAACTTTCCGGAGGTCCCTCCTCTAGGAAGCGTGTTTTAATGTGGTTGAATTTCTTAATGCTTTTGCCCTTTCGTGTTTTGTTTCATACTCACAACTTCCAGACCTGTGATTTAAAAAATCCTCTCAAGAATTCCTGTAGAAATTTTGTGATTTCTATTTTTTAAACATTTAAATTTTTGGTTTGTACGGAATTCATTTGGGAGCAGAAGGAGCAAGGAAGGAGGACCAGGCCTCAGTGATGTTGTCTTCTCTTGTTCTGTCAGCGGTGTTGAGTGCCTACTGTATGCGAGGCCGAGTGCAAGGTGCTGGGTGAGAGCTGGGGGGTGCAAACTGAGACTAAAGCAGAGTCCCACGGTCCCAAAGCAAGTGCTTGCCCTCAAAAGAGCTTTTGCTCAAAATATCTATAGGACAGAGGAAAAGTGATTCTGCATTTTCAGGTCTGGCTGAGAGAATTTGGGGAACCCGGAAAAAGAGACAGCAAAATGAAAAGCCCAGCCATCTGGCCCAGCTCCTGCAAGTTGCAGCTTCTCTGTCTCTCTGTGTGCCCGTTTCCCTCCCCTTTGTGACCACCTCGCCAGGCCTCCTACCCCTCTGTCTCATTCTCGCTCTGTCTCTTCTCTCTCGGAAGCCCTGAAGACTGGTTACAGGCTCTCTCTAGGGCCTTCCACTCCTCTGGGTGGTGGGCCCCACCCGCGCCCCCTGTCATTTCCTCGCTGCCCTTCTCAGCCCGCAGGGCGGCCTCTGGGGGCGGACTGTCCCACGGGTGCCCCTTTCTATTCAGCTCGCGAATGAACCTGGAGAGTTGCCAACCCACAGCATCGAAGGTGTTTTCAGAGAGTCGCTTGTGGGCAATTTTTCTTAGGTTGACGATCAGCTTTTCCTTCTCGGTCACTGTCCCATTGATGTTCAAGCCCTGCAGGTAGTGGCTGATGGCGGTGTCATCACGCTGCTGCTGGTACTGCTGGAAGTTTCCATAGCGCAGGTGGAGGACTTGTCTTTCCGCTGGAGGCAGATCCTTACTGAATTCTTTCTGGAAGTAATACTCCGCCTTATCATACTGGCCCATGATGGCATAGAGGCAGGCAAGGTCTGAGCAGGCGCGGGGAAGGTTAATATTCAACTCGACAACTCTCTTAAAGTGATCCACCGCGTGTCTCGTCATCTTCTGCAGCTCTTCTTCATTCTCCTTCGTGGTATACCTCCTTGACCTCTGTATTTGCCGGATTTTTGCTCTGTAGCAGCATCCGATCTGCAGATGTTGATAGACGTTGTTCGGTACCGATTCTAAAGCCTTTTTAAGTAATTCGATAGCCGTGTCCAGAGTACCTTTATTTCGGTAATATTTGGCTGCGCTGCAGAGGACGTCTGTCGGGCACGGCGTTTTCTTCAAGGCCTCTTCGACTAGCTTATCTCCTTCAGCTTGTTTCTGGGTCTTTTGGAGAGTCAGAGCCAGGAGAACGTGAATATACTGGTTGTCAGGATTCAGTCGGATGGCCCGCCTCAGCAGGCAAATGGTGTTCTCTGTTGGTGCTTTGTCACCCAGACGGTAGAGTGTGATAGCCAGTCCCAGGGAGAATTCTGGATTGGTGGGTTTCTTTTGCAAAGCCTTCTCAAAACACTCCTTAGCCCGTTCATAATACTTTTCTCCCCATTTTAAAAGTGCCCATCCCTTTTCACAGTCAATCTCAGGGCATTCAATTCTGTAGGAGCTTGCAAACTTCTTGCAAAGATGTCCTACCTTGTCAACGTAAGCCTGTGCCTCTGGAAGCCTGCCCATGTGATAATAGACCCAGGCATAGTTTCCCCAGGTGACCAGACTTCGGATTTTGCCTTGGCGGGCCTGTCCATGCAGGATGAACTCTTCTGCTTGCTGTAAATATTCCAGAGCCGCCTTGTTCTGGCCTCGGAGGTGTTTAACATAGGCAAACAGATTGTACATGATTGCTTTGAATTCTTTGTTTAGAAACCGTGCCTGGTCACGCACTCTGTTCTCCAGATCATCTAAGGAACTTTCTTCATCATGTAAGTTCCAGGTGAAATGGCATTTCAGTTGCAGTAAGATATTTTCCAGGGAATGTTTGGTGATTTCACTGTAGGGGAAGAAGAGCAGACATTTGGGGATGTGAGTGAGCAGATGGACAAAGCAACAAGTTTAGGGCATGGCCCCCTGACCATTTCTGAGAAAAGGCCCAAACAGTGCTGGCACTCTGATCCGGAATTGTGAGAAACGAATTTCTGTTGTTTATTATAAGCTACCAGTCTGTGGTATTTTGTAAAAGCCCCCCAAATGGATGGAAGTCGATGGGATGGCCCAGAAGGAAGGGGGAGTGGAGGAAATTTATTACCCAGGGACACCCCAATTCCACCTGTCTTAGAGAAGGATGGGCACAGCAGTCCTGGACCTCCAACTGCAAAGCAAGGAAATTTCTCTGTAGAAATTATCAGAGAATGGTGCGGTAGTTGAGTAATAATATTTAGTGAGGTTGGTTTTTTGTTTCCTCTCTCAAGCATGGAAACCAGGGTGTGAGCCTGCACTTCTGATCCACCAGAATATTCAGGGAAACTAAGAGGAAATGCTGGGCTGAAGACACCAAGAGATGAGAGGGGGATCATTTGGGGCTGGGTGTGAATAGATATCCCTCAGGGGTCCTTTCCAAGGGATGGAGTGTGCACAGAGTGTTAATTTATTCAGGTTGGCTTGGGGCAGGCTTTTGGTCCATCTGACATTGGGCCAACAAGGGTAGCCCCGCCTGTGTCACTGTCTCTGCCTTTGCTGAGCTGGCTCTTCGGGCAGATTCACGAACTAGAACAACTCAAATACTCTCCACTCTCTCCCCGGGTGGGTGCCACCTGATGCTGTGGTCCACCACCCTTTTGATTTGCTCAGTGGTTACAAAGACAGTAGTCAGGTTCCTTACAGAGACATCTAGAGCAGAGGAGAAACAGCACACAAAGAGCCCACATGCAAATGCTATTCACAAAAATCAAAGGACAAACTAGAAAACAGATTATAAGCATGACAAGAGGTATTCCGTTTAATATCTAAAAGGCGCTTTTAGTATTCATATTTCAGTAGATACTAATATGAGCAGGTAGTTCGAAACACACATAAAAAAAACACACATATAAAAAAATGGTCACTAATCAAAGAAATGCAAATTAAATCAACGGTATTTCAATGGCTTTTAAAGCTTCAGTTACACAAAAAAGATTTTTAAGAATCACAGCTGGGCATTTTTACTTATACATGACGGTTCGGAACATACTTTGACATAAAACTTGCAGGGAATTGTGGCAAAACATACAAGGAGCTCTTGACTAAAAATCTGAATATTAAGAATGTATAGAAAACCAGATATTCAGTCAAAGGTTGTGATGGCCTATGCATGTGTCATGTTGGCTAGGCTATTGTGCCCAGTTACTAGATCAAACATGAACCTAAATGTTGCTGTGAAAGTATTCTGTAGACGTGATTAAAGTCCACAAGCATTTAATTTTAAGTAAGAAAGATTATTTTATTTTACCTGGGCGGGCCTGGTTTAATCAGTCGAAAGGCTCGAGGATAGTGCTGAGGCTCCCTGATGAAGAAATTCTGCCAGTGGACAGCCACTGACACCCATGCCCTGGAGTCCTGGTCTGCCTTCCTTGATGGTTTGCCCTGTGGAGTTGGACTTGACCAGCAGCCCTCATCATCACATAGGCTGATTCCTTGCATCATGTCTCTTCTTGTATATCTCCAGCCTCAGCTTCTCTGGCTGCACCCTGACTGCCGCAGAAGTTTGTGAACAAGGGATGTTCATCGCAGGATCAGTTACAACTGCTTAAAACTTTAAACTAGGTGATGGTGGAAAATAAATAAAGGTATCATGAGACTATCCATTGAACACATGAGACTGTTTTAGCTCCCTCCTTGATCAAATCCTACCAAGATGACATGGTCTATGAAGGCTTCTAACCATAAAGGAAAGAGAACACAAGGACGGCAGAATCTCGGAAACCCTGACACAGCTAGACAAGTGGGGATTGGTTTTTCCAAACATGGGAACATGGGAAAGCTAACTCTGCCACCAGTGGGGGAACCTAAGAAACAATCCATTGATACTGCAGAATTCCCCAAAGGCTCAGGAGTTAGCAGCATAAAGTGCTGCAGAAGTGCGTGTGTGTGTGTGTGTGTGTGTGTGTGTGTGTGTGTGTAGGGGTGAAGAGGGGTCCCTGGGCTCTCCAGCAATTGAAAACGACCAGACGCCAAACAGGAAGCTCCGGGCAAGTCTTTTATTGGGGCTTATGCCCGAGCACAAGGCAAGCAACACAAGGGAAAGGACCCTCCGTGCTGGCTCCCAGAACAAAGGCCAGGGAAAGATTTTAAGAAGAGACTGAGGCAGGAAAGGAGTAATGTCTAAGCATGTAGGTGGGGAAGGGAGACAGGAAGTTGGGCATGCAGGTGCAGTGGACAGAACCTACACCAAAATGTCTCATTAGCATGTTAAATCCCCGCCCATGGACATGATTTTTAGTATAAAGATGGAGAAAGTTTGTCAAAGGTCAGCTCTGGGGTCCACCTCGGAGCAGACTGGTTTGGTTCTGTCTTTACCAATCTTCCTGGTGGAGCCCCCCTTTGGTAAGCTTCCTGCCCCCTGTGTTCCTGCAAGGTGTGCTACTCGGGGGCATGGTTTCAGCTGTCCGGGAATGCTGGGGTTCCGATTAGGATTGAGGGGACCCGAGTCTAGTCCGGCTCTGTTTCAACAGGAACACTGATCCCATAGACTCTGCCTCTGGTCCTCGCAACGCCCACGCCCTAATGTAGCAGAAGGTTGTAGTGTCTTCTGTACAGAGGATAAAAGAGACGGTCCTGGACTATGGTTATAGGCACAGCTGGATGCCTCGGGTACTATACAGCAAATGAGAGAGCTAAATAAATGTTTGCATGTAGAATTTTGAGACCACATCTTCCCGAGTCAGCTCTAAAAGTGCGGCAGCCAGGCTTATTTCTTCCGGGCAAGGGATGAGTAGCCTGTTACGGAGGAAGTCAAGGAAGTCCAGGAGACAGACATCAGGGGTTCCTCCTCAAATGGGGCAGTGAGGTCACCGTGAAAGGAAGCCCCTTGCAGGTGCTCCAGGCTTCCTTTTGGTATTTTAGTGTTTCTCTCTCAATCATGAACGGGCGTCAGAGGATCCCCAGATATTAAGGCTTCTCACCTGGAGGACAGTGGCCCAAACAAGCACATGGTAAAATTGTCCTGAAGGGAGCAGAAGACTTAAAACAACAAGAATAGGAACAAATAAAGGGTCATCAATAAATTGAGATACGAGAGAAGATGCTGCATCCGTGGAATAAAAGCAAATGCTTTAAAAAACAAAAAAAGCCCCAAACATTTAAAGAACATGGAAGAAGTCTTGGAAATTAAAACAATTAAATTAAGTGAAAAACTCAGAAGATTAAGATTGAAAGGAAAAATTGTAAAAAAAAAAAAAAATCTTTTCAATAGTACAACCACCAGATAAAGAGAGGACAAATACGATACATAACATGGAAAATTAGAGGGACAGCCTTGGAGGAGCAACGTCTGAATAATTTGAGTTCTAGATGGAACAAGGGAAATGAAAGGAAGAAAGAACATTCTAGAAGAATGCGATAAAGTTTCCCTGAATGGAAGGCTGTAAGTTTCCACATGGTAAAAATAAACTTTAGCCCCTTTTGTCGGACATCTTAGCGAGGCTGCAGGGGGAGCATTAGCTCCTTGAGCTTTTCGATGCCGCCCAAGGACAAGAAGAGAGATACCAGGAAGTTGGCTAAGAAAGACAAAGATCCAGGGCACAGATCTGGGGGCAAGGCCAGAAACAACTGGTCCAAAGGCAAAGCTCAGAACAAGCTCAATAACCCAGTGTCATTTGACAAAGTGACATATGACAAATCTGTGCAGAGTTCCCAACTATAAATTTAGACCCCCAGTGGTTGTTTCTGAGAGACTCAGGACTTCCTGGCCAGGGCAGCCCTCCAGGAGCTTCTTTATTAAACTAGTCTCAGAGCACAGAGCTGAAGTCATTTACACCAGAAACACTGAGGGTGGGGGTGTCCCAGGTACTGGTGAAGATGCTCGGAACACATCCCACCAAAGGCACATTTTGAAAAATAAGACCTTATTAAATAATAATAATAAAAAACTAACCCTTTACCAAGTACTTGATGGTAAGCTTTTAGAACACTGGTGACAGAATTCTACAGTTCCAGGGGTAAAGGGTGTATATAACACAACAAGAATCCAAATGTTGTTGAACATCTCGACAATGACTCGAAAAGCTAGAAGACAATGGAGAAATGCCTCCCAAAAGCTGTGGGAAGATAATTTTAAATTTCGCCACACAATCATTTAAATGTGAGGAAAGCGCGGAGACCCTTTCATACACGTAAGCAAAAAATTTACGTTACAGACACTTGTTCAGGAAGCTGAGAGGAGATGCCCCCCTCAAAATTAGGAGTAAACCCAGGTAGTAAATAAAGAAATGGGATGTGGGAAACACAGGGCTCAGCGCAAGAGAAGGTCTTACATAAGATGGGAGGGAGAAGGAAATAGTCCATGCTTTCCCCACGGACCTGGAGTGCAGCCAGTGTAGACAGGAGTAGGTCAAAGGTCCTGTGAGTGATTGCCACCAAAATATGACGAGGGCAGCTCGCCTCAGATTTGAAAATATGGAAAGGAGTTTTGTTCAACTAGAATAGAGCTCGGGGCTGAGGTGGTGATAAGTACTTAGAAACCTAAAAAAAAAGAAACAAAAAACAAAACCACTTTTGTTTGTTTGTTTCCTTTAACTTCAGAAAAAAATGAAACGAAATATGGGAAAAGAAAGGTCGTGGGGGAACCAGACAGGACTCAGCTGTGAGTAGGGTTTGTGTCGTTGTAATAATCCAAATACTGAATATCGGTCCAACCAAAGTCACAAAGAGATATTGGGAGGGGACGATGTAGGAGAGGATGGGGGTGTGTGTGTTGGGGAGGGGCTTCAATGGTGGAAAACAAATAGATAATGGCCAAAATTGAAAAATCAAGAACTACCAATATAATCATGTTATTGAAGTATATGGCTATAAATAGCACAAGCGTCCCTAAAAGAATTACCGATGGCCTCTGGAGAAGGGGAGTATGGTGGGGGCTGCGGGATGCTGTTTTTCTAACCCTGTAGATCATGTTGACTATTTAAATGGTGTGAATGCATAAATTTGATTATAAAGTAAGGAATCGGGAGAGAAAGAAGGAGGAATGGAAGGGGGGAAGGAGGGAAGGAAGAAAGAACAAAGGGAAAGAAGGAAGGAAGAAATCATAATACATCCATATTTTGCAGCATTATCGAAGACCTTGATACTCATGATGTTGAAAAATTTTACTGATAACACTCACAATATAATGTGAAGTGAAAAGATAAGATGAAACTGTATGGAATCTATACCCTCAACTTTGAAAAGATTTCCCCCCAAATCTACTTAATAAAGTATATATATATATATACATATATACACACACACACACACACACACACACACACACATACATATATCTCTCTCAAATGTTGAAATAGTTTATTCCTGGTGGGTTATATAAGAGACAATTGAATTTTTCCCCTTAGACTAGCTGGCATTTTCCCCAAGTTCTTTAGCGTGCTCATTGTATCTTTATACTGAAAAAAGTCCTTCATGATTCTAGTTGGATTTTTTTGTTTGTTTTTAAAAGATCACTGAAGATTAAAAACAAAACAGAAGAGGAAAGCGTGGGTACTGGGACTGATGGAGCCCAGTTTCTCTGGAGGCTCTGGGCAACCTCAGAGATGTGAATTCTGGTTTAATGCGCCACTGCGGTTCTTTGGAAAATAATTAGTTAAATCCAGCCCATCCTTTATTAGGGCATCCAATGCTGAGCTTATAAAGAGTATGCTTCCCTTAAAATTATAATTAAATAACCCCAAGCTCCTGACTTTTCCTTTCATATGAAAAACAGGAAAACAAAAGCTTATAAGAATATTTCTGCCGGGTTGGCATCCTTAACTGATGAAAATTTGCCTGCAACAGAATGAAATAAACTTGCCCCTCCCCCTTCCCCCAATGCCTCCTGTGTCTTTTCTTCCTTGCTCCAGCCTCTGGCTGCTTGCTGGCTAGGATTTCTAAAAGCTTCCACTGGGGAGAGCCTGTGTGCATCTGAAAAGTGCTGCAAAATTTAAAATGCCTGCAACAATTACGATCCAGATTTAAGGTATATTAAATATTTAAGCCGGCGCCGAAATCTAGCACTTAAGAAAAATCTGTCTTGAGATTTTTCTAGACACAATTTCAAGAGACCAATGCAAGATAAAACCTTTTACCTCATGGTCGTAGGCTGAGGGCTGCCCAGCTGTCCTGCAGTGTCCTGGAAGGCTGATTTGCTGCTCAGAAGTCTCCCTGAGCTGGAAGCCGCCTCGGCCCCCTGGCCAACCTAGTAGTCTTTAAGCCCACGTGATTGATTAACTAAATCTTTCTTCCCATATCCATAGATCGTGCATTCTTGATAGAAGGAGCGGAGCACTTCTGCACCTCACCAAACTCTCCTGCACCACCTGCTGGGCACCAAGGAACCAGATCTCTTGCACAACTTCTGAGCACCACAGTAACATCCATAGCCGGCACTATAGAGTCTGCACGGAATCAAGAAATATTACAGACCACTGCACTCCCTTAACGAATTCACTGCCCTAAACCCCTTCAAAAAAGTCTCTGGGCCACGCAGAAACCTTGGAGTTGGCCTTTGGACAAGGGTCTACCTACCACCTTCTCCCCAGGTGGCCCACCAACAGAATAAAGCTCATATTCCTTTCCATTCAAAACTCCCATCTTAACTAGTGGCTTTTGGAGCAAGGGGCAGCCAAGCTTGCTGACTGCAGATTCCTGAGGATGAGAAGCACAGCGCTGCTGACCAGGGGTACCTTTGTCAGTACTTGCACATCTGAATGGAAAAATATCCTGGCAAGTGCAACTGACTTTCAGCTATGCTGGTTTCCCGTTGGGGGGAAAGGAGATGTGACCAAGGAGAGCTTTGATCTTTCTGATTGGGAACTCACTGGGACAAAATGTTTTGGAGGAAGCATATGTGAGGACATTCAAGGTGGAGGAAAATTTACTGGAGGGAGGACCCAACTTGTAGCAGTCAGAGAGCTAGAAATCGAAGTGACCACTGCACCCATGTGGCTTCAGGAAACTATGGCCGCGGTTGGACCACTAGCTAGTACTGATGGTGAAGCTCTGCTCAGGGCTTTATAGGACTCATCTGATTTACTCCATTTGACCCCCATGTGAGAGATGGCCGTTTAGCAGGTGAGTAAGAGAAGACTCAGCTTACTTATGCAACATGCCCAGGGAGGCAAGTCCCGATCTGTCTGCTTCAAAGACCTCACTTGTTTAATTGTGGGGCTTATGAGCCCAAAGAGTCTCTTGATCTGAAGATCTGAACTACGTGGTTCATTTATATACTGCTAGCAGGAACGTAAGCTGGTATAGCCATTATGAAAAACAGTATGAAGCTTCCTCAAAAAATTAAAAATCGGGGGCGCCTGGGTGGCTCTGCTATCTAATTATCTATCATCTATCTATATAAATATCTATCTGACTATCTATCTGATTATCTATCTATCTGTCTATCATCTGTCTCCCTCTCTGTCAGTCTGTCTGAGAATCTTTTGCTCAGACTCAAGAAATTCTTTCAGTAAGTTACTGGCCATCTTCATCTGGGATAATCATAAGTTAGGAGCTAGCAAACTACAGTCTGAGGGCCAAATCCATTCCTCTGCCTATTTTTATATAGCCTTCAAGTTAAGAATGCCTTAAAAATTTTTTTTTTACAATTTTAGAGTTGTAAACACACACACACACACAGAAAAACATGTGACAGAGACCATATGTGGCCTGCAAAGGCTAGAATTATCTATCTGGCCCTCTGCAGAAAAAAGTTGCTGACCCCTATCATAAGCGAATTCAGTAAGTCTAAAAAGGAATTTATCTTTCTCCCCAAAACTCCTCTTCTTCTAGTCCCTATATTCATGAAAGGCCCCATCATTTACCCAATTATGCCACCTCATGGATTAGTAAAGATCTGGGGGAATGTTTTATATTTACTGCCTGCCATGTCCAGATTTGCTTAGGGGGAAGTTGCTACCATCAGAACATGCTTTTCTCAATGGGATGCCTTCTTCAGTCCTCATCAATGAGCCCCATGGCAGCTGGTACTCCTGGTGTGTAGGACATGGCCTTGTCTTCAGAGTTTACTTCATGTGGCTGGAAGCTGCTATATTGCAGATGTACCAACTGTTTCCTTGTAGGAGTTCACTCCTTTCTTAATTCTCTCTGTACGTAGCCTCTTGCTTTTCCACACTCGACTGTCTCCATTTATGTATGAGCCAGATGTCAGCAGGCAGCAGATATTCTCATTGGACTCAGTAGCTGCCTTTAAAGAATTTAAACCATTATGGAAAACAATATGGAGTTTCCTTTAAAAAGTTAAAAATAAAACTACCACGTGATCCAGCAATTCCACTTCTAGGTATATATCTGAAGGAAAGGAAGCCACTATTTTGAAAAGAGATCTACACCCATTGTTCACCGAAGCATTATTTACAACAGCCTAGACATGGAAGCAACCTAAGCGTCCATCGATGGATGAATGAGAAAGAAAAAATGGATATATATCACATTTTTAAATATATATGGATATAATAGAATATTATTCAGCCATAAAAAAGGGAAATGTTGCCATTTGTGACAACAACATAGATGAGCCTTGAGGGTATTATGCTAAGTGAACTAAGAGAAAGACACATACTATATGACTTCACTTTTATGTGAAATCTAAAAAAAAAAACAAAAAACAAAAACAATCCCAAACTCATAGAATAAGAGATCAAATTTGTGGTTGCCAGAGAGGCAGGGGTGCCGGGGTATTGGGTGAAGGTGGTCATATGTACAAGCTTCTGGTTATAAGATAAATGAGTACTGGGGATGTAATGTACCGCATTGCCACACTTAACAATGCAGTGTGGTACACTTGAAAGTTGCTAAGAGAGTAGATCTTAAAAGTTCTCGTCACAAGGGAAAAAATTATTTTTTGTAACAAAAATTTTCGTGAGGTGATGGATATTAACTAAACATTGTGATAACCATTTCACAATATGTAGGGATATCAAGTCATTGTGCTATATACCTTAAACTTAAACAATGTTATTTGTCAAATTATATCTCAATAAAAATGGAAGAAAAAAATAACAATAAAGGTACTTATTGAAAAAAATTGATAGCACACCTTCGAGCCCGTACAAATTATTCATTCCCATATGCTTTTGCATTTTGATTTCATTTGGCTTTTTCCCCAGAGGAGTTTCAGATCTGGAGAACCAGGTAGGCTGTTTGTGGTTAGAATTCATAAAACTTTTATAAGTAATTCAGAGCTTTTTCCAGATTTCCTGTTCTGCATCAAACTTTGCCCTCAGTACAGAGTTTGCATCAAGGCCTCTGTTATTGACCTCTCTACTCTTTCTTCAGGTTTCTTCTGAAGTTTCAAGGCCAAAATAATTTAAGGTATTATTGGTTAAGATTCAGCTCAAAGACCTTTCTCAGGAAATGGAGGGATTTCTCTCTTGGTTGTCTCTATCATTCTTTGTGGTTTGGCTAGAATTTCTGGTCTCCAACCCAGGGTCATGGCAGGACCTTGGTTTATGTCAATGCATTTGGAAATCTGAAATCCTTCCTGAAGATGGGAGCCTCCTTCTTTCTCATTTCTCCCTGGATTCCCCCACCTGCCACTCAGAGAGAAAGTTAATCCCCGGTTGCTTTTCCAGAGCTGTCCCCCAACCTCATGGCTGCCCAGGGCCTCCGCATACCCTATATCCATCCTCTTCTAAGGAATAGTCCCTTTAGACTATTCACTGGAGATTAAACGCTCACTAAGCTAAGCAGAAGGGAGGAAGGTGGGGTATGTCATAGAAGGGAGAAGGTGGGACAAGCAGGTTTCTGTTCATCTCTAAAGCCTGGAGTCTCAGATGAATACATCACACCAAACAGAATCTCATGACCAGTGAGCTTTGAACAATTCTCATCTCCCTTTTTTTAAAAACTGCTCTACTTCCTATAATGCAGCCAAAAATTGCAACTGTTTTTCTGGGGCATATCAACTTGATACCAACTAATCTTTCACACAAGCCACGTTCTTAAGTGTATTTTTTATGAGCTGCAGTAAAGTGGTTGTCGACAAAAATCTCTCCCATTCTGTTTCCATTATATATTCTTTTAGAATATATTTTATTTATTATAATATACTTATAATTTATTTAGAGCATATCTGTATACTCTTTTAAATGATAGTATATATGAAATTTAAAATTAGTATTATTTTATATTATATAGTGTAAATACACTATTATTATAGCAATATTTAAATATAGCCTAAATATAATGCAATAAAAATATGTCAATGTATTATACAGTATTTATATTATTATCATAATGTTTTCTATATAATATGTAAAAGTAATATATTCTATCACGTATTCTATCATTATATTATATATCTATATAATTTGTGTATCTGTATCAGTAATATATATTCTATGTGCTTCTATTATTACTTTTTTAAACTAAACTTAAGACTTTATATTTTTCACAATTCAATTATATTTTGTGAGATTTCTTGCTTTTTCAAAGCATAAAGGACTATTTGGAACCTGTCTTTATAATTTTATTTATTTTTTGGCTAATATTCCAAACTAACATAATTGTCTAGTCCTCTAGCTCTGAAGTAAAATAGGGCAACACTCTAGATGTGTGTCCTTGAGAAAGTTACTCAACCTCTCTCTGCCTCTGATTCTTATCATATTTGTTCCTATCAGGATTAGATGACATAAACCAAAAAAAGCCACTGATAAATGAAAAACCCACTGATAAAAGAAAACCCAAATTGTGAGCCACTGATAAATGTGAATTACATTTTATTATTGTGTGGCCATTCCATGGGCCTTCCTCCACACCTCCCTGATACACCGAAGCAGAGAGAAACTGATCTCTTAAGTCTTGTTTGTAGACCTTCTGGACACAGTGACGAATCCCAGCTATTCTTGTTTTGGACTTTAGTTTTGGAGTCAGTCCAGTGTGGCCTCTCTTGCTTGTCAGAAGTTTTATATAAGGAGAGCACAAGTCTTGTTCTGTCTTCTTTCTCTTCCAACCTAGATAGGACATCGTTGGAACTGAGAAAATAAAACCAGCCTCATTATACTGCCCGAGAAAGAAACTCCGTAAATTACTTCGGTAAGAATCACTCTTTTTTCCTGCTGTTACCCTCTTGCTGGTCTCCCTGAGACTCTCGGCCCTGAACCAAGAGATTCACACAAAGACTTATTCTGACCAAGGAGAGGGGGACTAAATGAAAGAGGCAGGATTGGATGACAGGTCTTCAAATCGTTAGTTTGCTATGTCCTGTCCCCACATGTATGCAGCCCTCTGTATGTTCAGCTGAGACTGGAACCCTTAAAAACAAAACAAAACCACAAGGCGGGGGCATGCTCCCATAAGGAGAGTGGGAAGGGGCTGTTATTTGTGTAAAAACAGCCATAGAGTAAAAGACTTGGGGAAGGTTCAAACTTTCCCTGGATGAAAGGAGGCACCGCTGCTCCCAGCCCAGTCCCAGCCCTAAACCTGATTGTGGGCAGCAGAGTCAGTTCTAAATGATTTCCGCCACTTATAAATGATCACCAGTAAT